ATATATTTTTTATCATTTACATATATAACCTGCTTTTTAAAACTTTTAAAATTTTGTTCTTTATATATATATAACAAAATAATGCATTTTGACCTATTTTACATACATGCAGTATAACTTCCCATTCTTGGGTTGTACATGATGTGGAGTTACATTGGTCATGTATTCATATATGAACATAGGAAAGTTATGTCCGATTCATTCTACTGCCATTCCGATTCCTATTCACCCTCTCTTCCCTTCTTTCCCTTTTGTAATCCAATGAACTTCTGTTCTTTCCTACCACCCTCTTATTGTGTGTTAGCATCCGCATATCAGAAAGAACATTCAGCCCTTGGTTTTTTGGGATTGGCTTATGTCACTCAGCATGATAGTCTCCAGTTCCATCCATTTACCAGAAAATGCCATAATTTCATTCTTCTTTATGGCTGAGTAATATTACATTGTGTATATATACCACATTTTCTTTATCCATTCGTCTATTAAAGGGCACTTAGATTGGTTCTATAGCTTAGCTATTGTGAATTGAGCTGCCATAAACATTGATGTGGCTGCATCACTATAGTATGCTCATTTTAAATCCTTTGGATATTGATGTGTGGGTTAACTGGATCAAATGGTGATTCCATTCCAAGTTTTCTGAGGAATCTCCATACTGCTTTCCATAGTGGTTACACCAGTTTGCAGTCTCACCAGCAATGTATAAATATACCTTTCCCCCCCACACACATCCTTGCCAACATATAATCTGCTCTTAACATGTATTTTCTGCCCTCTAAAGCATGCCAGAATACTTGGTTTATTGCATGTATATCTATCTCTCTATTGCAGTTCAATAACAATAATTTGCATTTTCTAGAGAATGATTCATCAGCTACATTGTTTTACCACATTTTGGTCATACTTGGATATAAGATGTATTATAAATAGGCATTATCACTAATAAAATTTATAAAGTACTATATAGTTTGCAAATGATTTTCTTTTTTTTTTTTAATTGTAGGTGGACACAAAACCTTTGTTTTATTTATTCATTTTTATATGGTGCTGAGGATGGAACCCAGTACCTCACCCATGCTAGACATATGCTCTACCACTGAGCTACAGCCTCAACCCCTCTTTTTTTAATAAATGAGAATGGATTCAATATTACCCCTATAATAACATTCTCAATAACTTGTATTCATATATGTTTTATTTCTTTGTGGGAAAAAAAGGAATACTAGGAATTACACATAACTTGAAGCATATTGTCATCTAAGTTGTTGCAATAATCTTGGCCACCTTTTAGCAGTATTTCTTTTCTAAACTATCTCTAACTTTAGTTTTCCTAAGTGAAATAAATTATGATTACAGTAAACTGGAAACATCTGTTGTTCTCCTCTACTTAACACTTTCAGTTTACAAGTCTAATATTTGAGTGTGTTGATGAAGTCTATTGACATCACCTCAGTCGTGCTACTATTTATACATTTAAGAATTTTAAAAAAATTTACTAGGGCTGGTAATATAGCTTATGGTGGAATACTTGGCTAGCATGTGAAAATTTCCAGCACTACAAAAAAAAAAAATTAAATACTATGTTTGACTTATAAAAATATTAGCAGGCAGGGGTATTGTCTATTAATTCTTTTGGTCTAACAACATGCATCATAAGTAAGGGGATCAGAGGCCATGGATTGCCTGGTATACTCCTGATTTTTGCCTGCTGTACCATTGTAATTAATAATAACCCCCTTTTTCAATCTCCAAGTATAATGTACTCACTGCTATTTATCAATGTATTACACATAGCATGTATTAGGAGTTCAGTATTTGTTAATGAATAAATGATAGTCCATATCCAAAGAGATAATCCCATTAAATATAGTTCAAAGAATATAGTTCTTCATTAAAATACTATGAGCATTTTGGTGAACTAAATGAGGAATCCCAAGAAAGATATGTTCATGTTCTAATCCCCTGGAACCTTATATGGCAAAAGATGTGATTAAATTAAAAACTTAAAAGAGTTTATCCTGGATTATCTGAGTGCAATCACATGTATCTTTATAAGACAGAGGAGGTTTTGTGATACACAACACACACACACACACACACAGAGAAGGCACTGTGAAGACAGAGTAGAGAGATATGACCACAAGCTAAGGAACAACAGCCAACAGCCACCAGAAGTTGGAAAAGACAAGAAATTAATTCTCTTTAGAGCCTCCACTGGTAATATGGCTTGCTAACACCCTTTATTTGCGGTTTAGGGCCCCTAAGAATGTGAGAAAATAAATTTATGTTGTTTTCATTCACCCATTTTGTGGCAATTTTTTATGGCAGCCAGAGGAAGCTAATACAAGCTTTTTACACATTGCTTACAAAAGTAAAAAAATAAAAGAATATCCTCATGGTTACTTATGTTGTTGTAGAGGAGAATTTTGTGCACTTGGGAAAGTATGAGATTCTTCCACACATTAACTAAATAAAATTGGAAAAATTACTTAAATTTCAATTTCTTGTATCTGTAAAATGGGAGACCTGATACATCTCTGCTTAGCCCAAAGTGGTTTTGTATTGAAACTAAATTGCAAGAATGTATATTTCATACTCAACAAATATTTATTGATGCCTACTATGTACCAGGATCTATTCTAAGTTTTTAATCTCTTGTTTTCCAATACATTGTCTACCAATGTATTTGTGTGTTTGTGTGTGTGTGTGTGTGTGTGTGTGTGTGTGCATGCATCTTTTAAAACAGACACCAAACGACAGTCATGGTTCCTGATGTCATTGAGCTTACATTCTAATGCAATGAGCAGGCAATACACAATAAAAAAATTCAAAACATTATTTCAGATAATAATAAGGACTTTGAAAAAATTAAATGAGGTAACCTAATAAAGTGCTTGGGAAAGAGAGCAATTTTACACAGAGTGATCAGGAAAGGATTTTCTAAAAATAGCTATTCAGCCAGGCATGGTGGCACATGCCTATAATCCCAGCAGCTCACAAGTTCAAAGTCAGCTTCAGCAATGGCTAAGCACTAAGCAACTCAGTGAGACCTTGTCTCTAAATAAAATACAAAATAGGTCTGGGAATATGCCTCAGTGGTCAGGTGCCCCTGAGCTCAATCCCTGGTCCCCCCCCCCCCCGCCGAAAATGGCTATTCAAGTTAAAACCAATTTAGTGGGGAAAGCCATCTAAAAAACTGGGATAAGAGGCTGAGTGCAGTGGTGCACGCCTGTAAATCCCATCAGCTTAACAGGCAGAGGCAAGGAGGATCATGAGTTCAAAGCCAGCCTCAGCAATTTAGCAAGGCACTAAGCAACTCAGTGAGACCCTGTCTCTAATAAAATACAAAATAGGGTTAGGGATGTGCCTCAGTGGTTAAATGCCCCTGAGTTCAATCCCAGTACCCCCAACAAAAAAAGAAAAAAAAAACTGGGATAAGAGCTTTTAAACAGTGGAACTTGAAAAACTAACCATAATTTTTGCATGTTTGAGGAATGGAAAGCTTTTCATGAGTTTGAAAAATAGAAAAAGGTCCAGTATGACTAAATTATAGAGATAAAGGGAAACAATGCAAGAGATGAAGTCAGATATTCAAGGGTCAGATCATGTAAGGTCATGTAAGCCATAATAAGGAGTTTTGATTTTATTGTGAATATAATGTATATCCATGATTAGAGGGTTGTATGCATGAAACTGGCATTATCTCATTTACAGTCTTAAAAGATGACTAGATTCTGAGTAGAGAATGTATTAGAAAGCAAAAAATGAAACTGAGGGACCAGCTCAAAGAGACTGTTACAGTAATATAGGCTAGATATAATGGTAGTTAGATTAAGGTGACAGCCATGTAGATCAAGCAAAGTGGATCAAGTTTAGATATATTTTGGAGACAAACTTCTGATGGATGGGATATAGAAGATGAAATAGAAAAATTACGACCAATTCAAAGATTTTTGGTCTTAGCAACTGGCAGATGATGAACAATAGGAGAATAACATTTTTTTTTTTGTACTGGGTATTGAACCTAGGGGCACTTAACCACTGAGCCATATCCTCAGCCCTTTTATATATTTTGCTTAATATATATATTGCTGAGTTGCTTCGGGCTTCACTAAGTTGCTAAGGCTGGCTCTGAACTCACAATCCTCCTGCCTCAGCTTTCCAAGCTGCTGGGATTACAGGCATATGTCACTGCACCCGATGGAGAATGACTATTCTGAACATGTTAGATTTGGAATACCTAATAGATATCCAAGAGAAATTTTTAGTGGACATTTCAGTACATGTGATATACATTTAGAGCTTCCATGATAGGGAAGTGTGGATTAGGGATGAAGATATAAATTTGCAAATAATCATCATAACACTGATATTTAAAATCACAGAATAGATAAATTACTTTTGGAGAAAGTACCCAGAGGAAACAGAAGGTCCAGAATAAATCCTTGGGGTACTTCAATATTTGGACATCAAACAAGGCAGAAAACAGAACAAAGACTGAGCTAAACTGTTGAAAGAGCCAATGAGATAGGAAAAAATCCTAAAGAAAAATGAATCAATAAAATGTCAGCAAGATAATATTCACTTCTGTATGTGTAAATAAATCTACTGGTAATACAGATTTATTTACATATACAGAAGTGAATATTATCTTGTACCACCAGCACAAGAACCTTATAATTTTGGAAGGAAGATAAATATAAGCCTCATAAAAACAATAGAGTATATTGCCCTCTAACTGGTCTTCCTATCTCCAAGTTTGCCTTTAATTTACTCCATACAAGCCACAGGTTAATTTCCCCCAAAAAACAGTACTCGTGTCAATGAAAAGTTATTGGCTTTAAACAAAAATGATCATAGTTCTCATATGTTCAAGAATTTTCTTTGCCTATGTAGTCAATTATCATCTCATTCTGGTGCTAAACAAAGGATGGCCACAGCCTCATCTCCTGTTAAGCCATTTATGAAATCTTTTTTTTTTTTTTAAGAAAAGATATTTATTTTTTTAAGAAAAGATATTTATACCACTGAAATAGTCCCATAAGAACAATATACACCATGTTTATTTAAAAGGATCAATTCCTTCCAAATACAAGAACTGTATTAAAGCAATACTGTCAACACGAAACAATGGTCACATTACATATCTGCAGGCTTAAGCATTGCAAATGATATATTTTTTAATCTTATGGCTAGATATTTTCACTGAAACACAGTGTTAGCACTTAGACAAGATAGAGCTGGAACAGAACAAAAACATTTTGTTCATGCTTTTTAGAGCTAATTGGTGGGTAATATATCCCATTTTAAAGTTTATTGCCTTAAACTGCTTTTATGACAATGGTTCAGGCACAAGTGCTCCTACTTAGCCACAAAAAGAAACACTCTTGCCCCTTAATTTTATTATTCAGTCTTACGTTTTCTATTTCTCATACGAGGACATGTCTGTATCACAACTGATGTTCTCCAGTTTTTACTTAAAGAACACTGACACACACACAGGCCAAAGTGAGACAGCTCAGAATTTAGAGCTGTAACTAGTGAAATACAGAAGAAAAATTTTGTGACAAAAGAATAAAAATTCCTGGTAATTTTAATCATAACAAACTAGGTTCTATTTTTTTTTTTTTTTTTTTTTGGTCATTAAGGGAAAAGCCCTAGTTTCAAGATGGGTCTGGCCTTAGATTTAGGCAATCGATAACACAATGAAGTTAAAACACAAGACATAACCTGTTCCCCAAGTCACAAAATGACACTGTTGAGTAAGTTTTTCTTCACTTGTCTTTGTCTTCCTTTTTTTTTTTTTTTTTTTGGTGGAAAACATCTCAGTAATCAATGCTGGAGAAAATATTTTTCAAACAGCATATTCATATGAGGGGAGAAAGAATTTTTTTAGCCTATTGCTATGATCTTCAAAAAATATAAAATTAAATTTACAAAAAACTGGAAGACCAAAGGATAAGCAGTCTGGTATTTGCTTCAGTGTCCAGCACTATCATAATGATTTCTAGCATAAAAGCAAAAAGTTCATGGATCTCAAGTATCTTCAATAACTGCCAGTATAACTTGTAACTACTGTCCTTGCTTCTTGGAGAGATACCTTTCCCAATATTTGTGATTTAGCTCCAAAAAGTCATCGAATTTTGCTATTTCCTTGAGGTACTGAGTTAATTTTAGAAGTTCTTTGTCCTTATCTCGATTTAGGTGTGCTTTCATAAAAGGCCTTATCTTTAGTCCATTTTGTGGATTCATTAGAAAATTTCTTCCTATGTCATCAAACATAATGGTGTTCTTTTTGCTGTAAAACTCAGAAAACTTTCCCCATATAACACCAAGAGGCTTTACATCTATTAATCCTCTTCTTGGAGTATGCACCGTTATCATAGCAGCACTGTCCAACATGAAGGTAATCTTGTAATTTGCATTTGTGCTCACGCCCAGCTCTTTCATTTTAGCTTCAATCCACTTCATATTTGTTGCAGACCAAATAACAATGTCATAATCTTCATATGCAGATGTTAGAAATTCATGAAGATATGGCCTCATTAATTCTACACCAGTCTCTGCACAAGACCTATGGTCAAATAATGTATAATCAACATCTAGTACCAAAAGCTTTTTTCCTTCTCTGGGAGGATTTAATATTTCCACTTTGTATTCTTTCACTCTGCGAGAAATTTTCAGTAGGTTTTCTTCCCTATTTTCTACTTCAACGACTTCATCTTCAATATCAAAGTCATTGACAACATCATCATTGTCAGGGGGTGGACCTAAGACATCTTCCAAGCTCTCCTCACGAGTTCCCATCATCATGATTTTAGTATTTGGTTTCAGTTTGAGAGCTCCAAGCTTAACATCATTTTCTGCAGGTTTGCCTTTAACTTTGAGTCCAAGTAACTTTTGGCGTTCTGGCAGCACTCCTGTAAGTGTCTTGAGAAACTGTTTGAGTTCTAGCACAGTATCATCTTCTGAAAGTGTGGTCACTGAATATTCCTGTTCACCCCATTTTACAATGATAGGGAGAGCCATTCTTGAAGCATATGAGGCAGTGAGCTTTCCTTTGGGAAAAAATAGCTGGAGCGCGGCGGACCCTGCTGCAGAGGACGCTGACACCGTCCACCAAAGCCATTTATGAAATCTTATAGCATTTTTTTCTTGGTTGTCCCATTTATCATTGATTTCACCCATTCCTTCTCTTGTTTGTAACTAGTGTATTTATTTTGTCTTTGTCTAAATTGTGAGCTCCTTGAAAACAGGTTACATCTAAGCTCCTTGCTTAGCCACTAGTATAGTAACTAAATGTATTTATTTTTCTTCCAAATGGGCAAAGACCAATAAATTTTAATCATATAATATTTAACACTGGTGTTAAAATGGAGCAAAGTTTGAGTATCATAAAATTAGATTAGGGTTAACTGTGGGAATGAAGGAGAGATGAAGTAGTCTGAAGCCAGATTACAAAGGGCCTTTTATACCAAACTAAGGAATTCAGATGCTATTCAGTTAGGGGAGAGCTAATGAAAAATTTTTAAAATATTTTATAGATGTTGATGTACCTTTATTTTTTTATTTATATGTGGTGCTGAGGATTGAACCCAGTGCCTCACACATGCTAGGTGTACCACTAAGCCACAACCTCAGCCCCGAGCTAATGAAATTTTAACACTAATATCTGTGTCAGGAATGAATCAGTAGAAGGAATAAATGAGAGTAGCCTCAAATTGCAAGCAATAGGACATTAGTAGGAATGAATTTTTAGGGGTAGCCATACCAATCTAACAGGCTCCCCAAAAGAAGATTGGGTGTCTGGGAGTGGTGAAAAATAAGACCAATGAAAGAGGAACAGAATATGAAGGACTTGAAAGCCAAGTAAAAGCATATGACTTGAGATCCCTGGTTTCTAATGCCTGTTTCCCTCCTTGGGGAACACCCCTTTTCTTTTCTGGAATGCAGTTTCCTTTTCCTAAGGTTTTCTTCAACAATAATGTTAATTTTCTATAATGCTCTGACCTGATATAGAGATTCTCAACCCTTGACTGCACATTAGAAATTCAGCAGATTAGACAAAGGGGAATGAAAAGAAGGAAGGGGGGTTGGGAATAGGAAAGACAATAGAATGAATCAGACATAACTTTCCTATGTTCATACATGAATATATGGCCAGTGAAACTCCACATTATGTACAACCACAAGAATGGGATCCTAATTAGAATAAGTTAGACTGTATGTTTGTACAATATGTCAAAATACACTCTACTGTCATGTATACCTAAAAAGAAAAAAAGAAAGAAAGAAATACATGGAGACCTTTAAATACTATTGATTTCTAGATTATGGATTTCAGATATTCGTACTTGTCTGAACTTGATTGTCTGACCTTAGATGCAGTCCCCAAGTGATTCTACTGTACAGCCAAGGTTGAGTTCAACAGATGTAGAAAACAGTGAAGCATCAAGATTATTAAATATAGTAATGATATGTTGGGAGGGAATGTTTTAGGGAAGACTAACATGAGTATATAGACTAGAGGGAAAAGACTGGAGCAAGCAAACAAGGATTTTTCAATAATTCAGGAAAAAAACTTCTAAGGCCTGGATAAGCATGCATGCAATAACACTATAGGGAAGAAGATGAGTGAAAGAAACATTTAGAGAAAAGAAAAGTAATACCAGAACTCAATAGTAGATTGAATATTAAACCTGATCAAAAGGAAAGAGAAAATATAAAGTCAAATTTCTAGCATAATACATTGTGAAACAGCTGGTTACTCATGATTATTGACAATATGATAACCAACATTAACTACTATGTCAGGGTCTTCTCTGTGTGCTTTATCTCATTTAATCTTTACAACTCTATAGATACCATCATCATTACCATTTTATAAATTCAAAAACTGAAGACAAGAAAGCAATTAAAGAAGTTGCTCAACGTTACACAGCAAGTTGTAGAGAAGATATTCCACCTCAGTGGGTCTGACTCCTTTTCCTTAAAATAGGAAGATGATCCGCTACATATTGAATCTGGTGAATTTGAACAAGCAACTAAGAAAAAGCAAAGTGGCTACAAAGAAGTCCAGACAAGAACATAAATGACTGAATCAAGTTAGATTTGACTATAGAAAATAATCTTTTTCTTCAATGATAGGGATCAAACCCAGGGCCTCCTCACATATGCAAGGCAAATGCTCTACCACTGAGCTACATACCCAGCTCCAAGAGGAAAACATACAAGAGGCTCCTATCCTGCTATACTGTTGCCCTGTGTGAATTTCAGGCCCATTATTGCCACTTCTTAAAGACTTTTTCTGAAAAGATGGAAATCTGGATTCATATATACAATCTCCTAATACTTAAATGTCAATTAATTCAAGCGTCAACACTACTGGGTTGTGAGCGCAATAGCGCTCATCTGTAATACCAGTGGCTGGTGTGGCTGAAGCAGGAGGATAGTAAGTTGAAAGCCAGCCTCAGTAACTCAGAAAGACCCGGTCTCTAAACAAAACAATAAAAAGGGATGGGGATGTGACTTACTGGTTCAAACTGGTTTTGTACTGGGTTCAATCCCCAGTACAAAAACAAAAAACACTAATGTGGCCCAAACTAAATATGGCTGCAGATTTGCCTCTCTGATCAATAAGCTGTTAGAAATTCAGTATTGGATTTAGATTGGAAGATGTATGATTAGGGAATCCTTCAGCACAGAGGATAGAAATGCTGTAGAAGTAGTATGCACTGGAATAACTACCAGCATATAACATTTGTTAAAACAATGCAAAAATATATGTTAACAAGACAGGACTCTTTCATGGTTTTTTTTTTTTTTTTAGCCTTATAGAAAGCTGACAAAATAGAAGTGTAAAACTAGCAGTTGGAAGTATGTTTAGTTCAGTTTTCTATGAACTAAATTTTTAAATTCCAGACAATGACTTGAATTTTCAGGTATCCAACATGTGATGGAAACATTTGAAATTGTGAAAATATTTTTATCCCCACTGATTGAAAGGTAAATAAAAAATTGTGTTTTATCTACATTTTTACTTTTTCTTTGCTACTTTGGGTTACTCCTTCCCAGTCCAGTTTCTCACAAACACTCATATTTTAAAAGCCTATAGCAGAGGGATTTACTAGTAGCAAACATTAAAGATTAAGTAAAATCTTTTTCATTTTTAATCATTCAGTTTAAAGTTCCTTAATTATTAGAACATTCAGGTTTTAGGGCTAAGTAACTACTCACTTTGATGTCTAGGTTACTATAGTGTTTCTGAAGCCCATTCTCACTATCAGATAAATGTATTCATTATCAGACATGAGGAATGTAAACCAGTTGTGTAAAAATACACATATGAAAGTATTTTTTGCAACTGCAAAATCCTACAAAAAAGTATAAACAAATATTATTCTGGTATTATTTTGAAGCTAGAAGTATCCTGAAATTATAACATGAAACCTTTTGTATTTGAAACAAAATTTGCATCTTTCCCAAAAATGTTTCCTTTTTTTTTTTTTAACACACAACTAAGTTTATGAATAAAAATGCTTTTTTCTGGTTCTTAAAAATAAAGTGAAATTGATTTAATAGCAATAATTATAGTAACAATAAGGTGGGGAATTTTTCCTATTCCATAGCAAAAATCTAAAAATGCAGAATTGTGTCAAAAACCTTCAGAACCACACCACTCCCTTCTATTATCAGATTTAAATGTTCAGGATAGTGCAACTGTTATGAAAACGGTATTCAGGACTAGGTACTTGGAACACCTAGAGCTGTTTTGACATGTCAAACCTAAGTTTGGGTCTTTGAAAATCCTGCCCTCCATTGGACACTAAGTCATTCACGATAACACACAGTTTTTCTTTTGATTACATTGTATCAAGAACTGTGCTCAAAATGGAGAAGGGGACATTTCTGTTGTTAAAATATATAGAAACATGACTCCATTTTTGTAAAGCTAAAATGTCGCAAACGGTGGAACACTTACCCTCTCCTTTAATATATTACCTGAGAAATATAAATAGTTCAACCTGCCAGCTTTGAAAAGCCTAACCCTGTGTCTTAACGTGGACTTTATATAAAATGGAAATAAAACTGCTAACAGTTTTCACTGTGCTTTAAAGAAAAAAACAAAAACCAAGAGTGAGCAATTTAAAACCCTCCAAGCGCCCCGCGCTCTACCAACACTTCTTCAGAACAAGTCTGGCATATTCTGAGCATTCCTCGGTGACCGGTGGCCGGACGTTCCTTTGCGGAAAGCTGTTTCTAACCAGAGGTACCAGGACAATAAGCCCCTTCCTTTCATCTCTTTCTCATTCACTTTGTAGACGGCAGGCCAATAAAGAGCTTAATGTTTTCTTTCCGCACTGGGGCTTTTCGCTTTCGTCTCCTCTCCTCAGCCCTATCCCCGGATCCCCCACCCCTAAGCCTGCCGAAACCGAGGACCTGAAGACAGGTAGCGATTCCCCGCGCGGCGCCCCGGGGGCGCCAGGCCTCAACGCTGCAGGCTGGTCCCAGGACGCCTGGCCCGCGCTGGTCAATCTCAGCTCCCTAGGGGCGCCAGGGAAATCAGTGCTCAGACACGCCACGGACAGGGGTTGGGTGAGGTAGGAAAATCGTGCGTTTTCTTCCCAGGTTGCAGCAGCAAAAACGAGGAGGGAAAAGAATCGTGTACAACTCGAGCTCGGGATCCGGATTCTGGGAACAAAGAGCCTATGCAGGAAGACGAGGCAACCACACCAACGCACTCAAAAGGGCTCTCCAGCTTTTACGCAAGCGGCCCGCAACTCAACAACGCTCGGCTCCCCTTACGCCACTGGCTTGGTCCCAGAGCCTTCGCGAATAAGGCTTTGCGCACTGCGGCGGGGCTGCGCCGCAACCGAGCTTGGCCCTCTGGCTCCTCCCCGCCGCCCTGCGCGGATTGGTGGCAGATGGCAGCAAGGCTGCTGATTGGGTGGCGAAGGAGCCATTCGGGGCGGCTCTGGTGGGTTCGGCTGCCCCAGAGTGATAAGTTCGGCTTCTGACACGCCTCAGCGCCAGCAGCGAGTCGGAGCTCTATGGAGGTGGCGGCTGGTACCGGGTGGTGGCTGCAGCAGGGACTCCTTTGAGCTGAGAGTTTCAAGCCGTCCCCGACTCCTTCCTCCCCCTTCCCTCCCCCTTTTTTGTTTTCCGTTCCCCTTCCCCCTCCCTTCCCCGTCCCCGACGACCGGATCCTGAGGAGGCAGCAGCTGGTGGCAGCTGCTGAGTTCTCGGTGAAGGTGAGTGGAGTCGCCGCCGCCGAGCGGAGCGCTCTAAAATGGCCGCCGTTCCCGGCCGCTTCTTCTCGAGTGGTACAAAATGGCGGCCGCAGGCGGAACCGGGCGGGGCGACCCTATTTTAGTGTTTCCTCTGCACTTGGGGCACCTGGAAATTCCTGGCTTTTGCTCTCCTTTGCCTTTTCTGATGGAGTAGAAGAAAAACTGCAGCTTGACTACGCTTCGTGTCGGGTGTTGGCAGGGTGCGCCGACGTAGGCCAGGCGGGCCGAGGCACGGTGTGCTTGGGCGGCGGGCGAGCGTGGCGCGGGCGCGGGCGCGCGCCGTGGCGGGAGGGCGATGGGCCGCGGGAAGGGCCCAGCCGTTGGCGCGGGACCAGCGACGCGCAGGAGTCCGGAGCCCGGCCTCCCGGCGGGGCGAAGTTAAGCGGGGCCTGTCGGCCGGCTGCCCTTCGTGGGGGGAGGCAGAGGGTGAGGGCTTGGGCCCCTTTGTCGGCCCGCGGAGGCAATGGCGAGGCGGCTGTCAGTCCCGGGGGATTTATGGGTGGGAGGGGGCCTACCCAGAGGCGGCGGGTGGGCCGGAGGCCGCCTTCCTGCCCCGAGAACAAAGAGCCGGGCGCTGAGCCGGCGGGGGCGGCCTCCGCCGCTGCTCCCGCCGAGGGACCCACGGCCTCGCGAGGCGCCTGTCGGTAGCACTTACCTAACTCCAGCTGGGGTCGGAGGAATCCGCTGCCCTATTGTTCCCAGTAAGGGAAAACGGGGCGGAGGTTTTGCTGCCATGTTGTGGCCCTGGTCTTCCGTCTGCCGAGTGCCTGCACGCCTGGGCCGTCGGCGAGTCTTAACACAACATGCCTTCTGCGAGGAGAAGGGACGGGCCGTGAGGAAAGCAGCGGAGCCGCCTTAGGCCTTGTCCAGGCGGTGCGGCTCGCCACCGAGGCAGCACAATTATGAGAGCAGACATTTCCCATCTAGTGCTCTAGGTGTTGATAAGTTATCTTTTAAGTTTTAAAGATAGTAGCATGTGGCTTGGTTTTGAGCAGTTTGAGTTCTTGTGTGTCTTCGAGGGCTGGTCTTGCGTCCTTGAGCAGCCGGCAGTTTCTTAAACAACAAAAAAAAATTCTGCCCATTTGTTTTTTGAGTACGTTCTATTTTTAGTGTTATGAGACCTGCAATGCAGTGAAAGTTAAATCAGCTGCAGTGCCAGGATCTGAAATAATTTATTGAATGAAGGTTTATAGATCTGTGTGTTAGAAATGTCTAATTTTGATGCTCTTTCTCATTCTAGGTTTTTCATTTCTACCATCCCCTCCCTTCCCCACCCTATCCATTAATATTATTCTTTTGAAGATTCTTCGTTGTCAAGCCGCCAAAGTGGAGAGTGCGATTGCAGAAGGGGGTGCTTCTCGTTTCAGGTATGTGTAGATTTCTTTAGGCGGATGGTTTGGAAAAGTGATCACAAAATAAGAAGTCACTACACTAAATAATTCTGACTTAACATGCTACAATTTTTAAAGTCCTTAAGTTTGTTTTTGTTTTTGTTTTATGACAGTTTTCTCAAAGAATAAATGCAATTATTAGTGTTTTCTCAAGGCCCAAGTTCATCTGTGGTGTAATTTCTGAAGTATTTTTTAAAAAATAATCTTTATTCCTTTAGAATGAGACATGATTGGTATAATGAAGAAAAAACTTTTTTTTTAAATAGTGCTTCTTCGGGCGGAGGAGGAAGTAGGGGTGCACCTCAGCACTATCCCAAGACTGCTGGCAACAGGTATGGTAAACATGTAAAAACATCAGCTTAATAGTAGATTAACTCTTGATCATCCCTTAAATAGATCATCTAATGTGAGTTGGGACTCTGAAACTGCTTATTCTTGGGTTATTTTTAATGATGTTATTTTTTTAGATCAGTTATTATTCATGCAAGGTGTTTTATATGGAATATGAGCACAAGATATTAGTGTTCTCAAGGTGTGGCTCCTGGACCACCTGCATTAACATCATCTGAGAATATATACTGGAAATGAAAATTCTTAGGCACTACCCCAAACCTGCTAAAGCAAAACTGGGAGTGGGCCCAGTAATCTGTTTTATGAAGCCCTGTGAATGATTCTGATATACCATACTATTTGAGAATCAATGATTTCCAGAGTTACTTTGTGGTGGGGCAAGTAGAGAAAGCATAGCATAGATTTTTCTGTTTGGTAGAGTTTCTGATCAGTGTGAGATTTGGTGTGTAACTGGCTGCTGTTTCACATTTTCTTGATTTATGAGTCTCTTTTTTGACGTTAATCAGCGAGTTCCTGGGGAAAACCCCAGGGCAAAACGCTCAGAAATGGATTCCTGCACGAAGCACTAGACGAGATGACAACTCCGCAGCAAACAACTCCGCAAATGAAAAAGAACGACATGATGCAATCTTCAGGAAAGTAAGAGGGTAAGTTTTAAATCTGCTTTCATAAGAAGACGTATAGATTAGCTGTATTTACATAGTGTATATGTTATACTATTCATAAGGTAATGTTCGTGCCCAGAGAGCATATTTTTTTCTAAATGTTTATTTTTTTAGTTGTAGTTGGACACAGTACCTTTATTTTATTTATTTATTTTTATGTGGTGCTGAGGATCGAACCCAGGGCCTCATACGTGCTAGGTGAGCGCTCTACCACTGAGCCACAACCCCAGCCCAAGAATATATTTTAGTGAATGTTAATGTTCACAGTATCCCAAATAGTCTTAAACTGAAGAGAATCACGTCAGTATTTGTACTGTTGGTTCTGGTCAGTTGGTTATAGCCATAAGCCTGTTGTCCTGGCATTTCCATCTTGGCTTAGTGTGTAACCCCATTATAGTAGGGAGTATAACTATCGAAGCTAATGGTCTCTATTTAGTCCCTGATAATGAGAGGCCTTTGTGCTCTTAGTTTTGAAAAAGGTTTGTTGTCAGACAGCTGGGAACCCCCAATTTGACAGATACTGTAGTCTAAATAACAGTGACAAGGAAGAACCTTTATTCTGTTTGCTGATATTTCAAATGTGATTCTTTTTTCCCCAGCATACTCAATAAGCTTACTCCTGAAAAGTTTGACAAGCTATGCCTTGAGCTCCTCAATGTGGGTGTAGAGTCTAAACTCATCCTTAAAGGGGTCATACTGCTGGTAAGTTTTAAATGTTGGAAACTTGGGAAGACAAAAATATTAACCCTAGGTTGTTTTTTTGTTTGTTTTTACCTTTAATCATATCTTAACCCTGAGGTCTGAGTTAGATGGACATGTGTTTCTGAATGCTGATAGTAATAAAAACAGAACTATTAGCTTTGTCATGAGATTTAAGAGTGAAGTTTAAATTGTTTATACTGTGTTCAAAGGGCTATCAGCAAGCTATTTGTTTTCCTTTTGTAGAAATTAATTGTATGATAGCAACAGATTATTAGTGCCTTTTTCCACACATACACACACCCCAGTACCACCACCCCCCCTTTGAACCTCTGGCCTCCTGTGCTAGGCAAGTGCTCTACCACTGAGCTACATCCCCAGCCTTCCAGTGTCTTTTCCAACTTGGTGGTAGGGGAAGGAATGAGAATACATGAGGTCTTTTTAACAATAAAAGAAGCAAAGAGAAATTAATAATCTGTCATGAAATTTAAGACTACCCCCAAAAAATGGTCATAAAAGGACTTGTTTGAAAAGCTGCCAGTTGATTTATTTATTTTTATAAATGACTTTCTCTGTAGATTGTGGACAAAGCCCTAGAAGAGCCAAAGTATAGCTCACTGTATGCTCAGCTATGTCTGCGATTGGCAGAAGATGCACCAAACTTTGATGGCCCAGCAGCAGAGGGTCAGCCGGGACAGAAGCAAAGCACAGTATGTGGTGACTTTTATTTGCTTATTTTAAAATTGATTTGAAAGATATCATTAATAAAGCCTGTGCCTTTTATTTTCAGACATTCAGACGCCTCCTAATTTCCAAATTACAAGATGAATTTGAAAACCGAACCAGAAATGTTGATGGTAAGAATTTGTTTATATTTGAGGGCTGGGATGTAACTCAATGTAGAGTGCTTCTTTAGCATAAGCAAGGGTCTGTGTTTGATCCCCTGCACCACACCAAAAAATAATATTTGATACTAATTACGTACAGTATATTTTCAACCTAATTCTAAGTGTTGGCTTTATTCTTTTCCCCCTTTAGTCTATGATAAGCGTGAAAATCCCCTCCTCCCTGAGGAGGAGGAACAGAGAGCCATTGCTAAGATCAAGATGTTGGGGAACATCAAATTCATTGGAGAACTTGGCAAGCTTGATCTTATTCATGAATCTATCCTTCATAAGTGCATCAAAACAGTAAGTATTACTGGGAATTTACACTTAAATTAAGATAATCAATGAGAGCATCTTTGGGAGGAATTGAGTCAATTATAATTGTTTTGTGCCATCTTAGAAAGTAGACTCAGTGGGGCTATGGCTCAGCAGTGGAGCACTCGCCTAGCATGTGTGAGGCCCTGGGTTTGATCTTCAGCCCCACTTAAAAAGAAATAAGGTGTTGTGTCCAACTACAACTAAAAAACAAGTTAGTGGATGGTTAGTGAAATATTTATTTAGATGGCCAACAAAACTAAATGCTGTAGAACAATATTTAATATGAAAATATGGCATGTGTTTTATAAAGTAGATGTTGAACTGATTGCCCACATCAGAACTGCTTGTTTTGAAGGGATTGCCTTGAAACAAAACTGTACTAGATGCTATAGGAACTATGAATGGATCAGTGCTAAGCGAACTACTACATAACCCAGAATAACTAAAATTTTGTCAACATGGGGCCTTTCATTCTTTTGGTAGCTTTTGGAAAAGAAGAAGAGAGTCCAACTCAAAGATATGGGAGAGGATTTGGAGTGCCTCTGTCAGATAATGAGGACAGTGGGACCCAGATTAGACCATGAACGAGCTAAGGTGTGTACGTTGCTGATGAAAGCAGTATATGTACTTTATTTTTTGACATTAAAGGGGGTTGCCATGGTCATTTACCTTGGTGATACTTTAGGAGTCTTAAAAGCCTAAGACAGTACACATTTATTTTAGTTCTTTCAATTACGTATTTTTCTCTTTTATCAGTCCTTAATGGATCAGTACTTTGCCCGAATGTGCTCCTTGATGTTAAGTAAGGAATTGCCAGCGAGGATTCGTTTCCTGCTGCAGGTAAAACTGGTTTGTTTGAATACGTTGTTAAAGCTGAGTTTTTCTGTTCAGGAATATGAAAATGAAATTTACACTTTTAAATTACAGGATACCGTAGAGTTGCGAGAACACCACTGGGTTCCTCGCAAGGCTTTTCTTGACAATGGACCAAAGACGATCAATCAAATCCGTCAAGATGCAGTAAAAGTAAGATGATATGTGTGTATTTAATCAAGTAGACTTTAAGTATTTTTGTAGTAGCACAGGGACACAAACCCTCTTATTTGAGATTGTCAGTGGGAAGTTCTTACAGAAACATAGCAGTCTAACATTCTATAGGTTTTTCTGTTTTCCCCAATATTAATTTTAGTTTTCAGTAAAATAGTGTTCAAAAATGAAAGTACTTATTCACCTCATTTTCAAAGGATCTAGGAGTGTTTATCCCTGCTCCTATGGCTCAAGGGATGAGAAATGACTTCTTTCTGGAGGCACCGTTCATGCCACCCAGGATGAAAATGGATAGGGACCCACTTGGAGGGCTTGCTGATATGTTTGGACAAATGCCAGGTAATTTTTGAACAGAAGTTTGGTTAAACTAAAAAATTAGTCTAAATTTTTTAATAGTAGAGTTTTTAAGAGTTGCCCATGTGTGTTTTAAGGTAGTGGAATTGGTACTGGTCCAGGAGTTATCCAGGATAGATTTTCACCCACCATGGGACGTCATCGTTCAAATCAACTCTTCAATGGCCATGGGGGACACATCATGCCTCCCACACAATCACAGTTTGGAGAGATGGGAGGCAAGTTTATGAAAAGCCAGGTAAGAAGGCATTAGGAAACAAGTGTTAATATTGCAATGTCAATTTATTTTGCTTCTTTATATAAAGATACAGCTATTTTAGGTGTCCTTTCTAAACTAAATTTACATCCTTGGCAGTTATTTCAAATTGAGTGAAATATTTATTAAGATTAGTAAAGTCACATTACTTTGATAGTTAGGCTAGATTTTTATTCTTCCCTGTTTCATCTTTTACTTTCTCTGGGCAAATTCAATTAAGCTTTCCCTATGGCTTGGCTCATCCCTTTGGTACTTGATTACCATAATTTGTGGACCCCCTTTTTATCTAGACTTTCTTTCTCCCTTTCTGAAATAGGGGCTAAGCCAGCTCTACCATAACCAGAGTCAGGGACTCTTATCACAGCTGCAAGGACAGTCGAAGGATATGCCACCTCGGTTTTCTAAGAAAGGACAGCTTAATGCAGATGAGGTACATTTGCCTATGTTACTTATATATGGTAGTTTGTCGATTCAGAAAATCTATTGCCCGATGATTATAAAAAGACGCGTTATTAAGAGGACTTATGCTGGAGTTCTTTTCTTTTTTTCTCTCTTTTTCTGTCTTTCTTTTTCTTTCTTTGAATGTCCAGCGTCCTATGAGCGAAGATTATGAGATATGAGGGCAAGACTTTATTAGTTAGGGTGAGGAAAATGGTTGTCAGTATGTTGTTCCTCGTTTCCTTTTAAGTAGAGTGATTTAAGAACAAAGCAAGATGTTTTCTGAACTTCATTTAATTTGCTGGGTTTTTATTTTAATAATGCTAGTCCTAGGAGAATTCCAGTGGAAATGTAAGGTTTATGACAATATCTTATTTTTCTGTGGATCAGGTCTTCAATTTTCTTGCCAGAAATTAAATGTATTATGTTAACATTGAATCACTTTTTTTAGTTTGTTTTTAAGAAACATTTCTGCCCTAGATTATATTATGTCTATAGAATTAATTTTAGGATATTAGAGTGTTAAATTTAACGTTAGCCAACTATATGTATTAACTTGGGTGTCTGGTATGGTTTGTTTTTAATTCCAGATTAGCTTGAGGCCTGCTCAGTCGTTCTTAATGAATAAAAATCAAGTGCCAAAGCTTCAGCCCCAGATAACCATGATTCCTCCTAGTGCACAACCACCACGCACTCAAACACCACCTCTGGGACAGGTATGAGCCCCATAGTATGACATCATTCTTCCTTTTTAACTTCATGTTTTCTTCCACTAATGTCACATGTTCCTTTTATCTGTCATGTTGCTTATCTTTTAGACACCTCAGCTTGGTCTCAAAACTAATCCACCACTTATCCAGGAAAAGCCTGCCAAGACTAGCAAAAAGCCACCACCGTCAAAGGAAGAACTACTTAAACTAACTGTAAGCATCTAGTGATTCTATAAATAATCTTTAGTTCTTGGGGTATATTTGGAATAGAGAAAACAAACAGTAATTGGATTGTATTCTTTTTAGGAAACTGTTGTAACAGAGTATTTGAACAGTGGAAATGCAAATGAGGCTGTTAATGGTGTAAGAGAAATGAGAGCTCCTAAACACTTTCTTCCTGAGATGTTAAGCAAAGTAATAATCCTGTCACTAGATAGAAGTGATGAAGATAAAGAAAAAGCAAGTTCTTTGATCAGTTTACTCAAACAGGAAGGGATAGCCACAAGTGACAACTTCATGCAGGTAGAATACTTTTCCTGATTGTGTAATAAGAACTCTCCACTCATTGAAAACTGTAACAAACTGACTGTTGTGTGTTCCTTCTAAGGCTTTCCTGAACGTATTGGACCAGTGCCCCAAACTGGAGGTTGACATCCCCTTGGTGAAATCATATTTAGCACAGTTTGCAGCTCGTGCCATCATTTCAGAGCTGGTGAGCATTTCAGAACTAGCTCAACCACTGGAGAGTGGCACCCATTTCCCACTCTTCTTACTTTGTCTTCAGCAATTAGCTAAATTACAAGATCGAGAATGGTTAACAGAACTTTTTCAACAAAGCAAGGTCAATATGCAGAAAATGCTCCCAGGTAAGAGAATGCTGGTTTGTTAATACTAAACCTAGAGGTTCTTGGTAACTTGAGTGGATTTATATGGATCAGACAACTTTACCTTTCCAAGTAATAATAAACATTTCCCTGGATACATCTTAAGATCTTATTTTAAAAGGGGATTATCATATCTTTTTACTTGATCCATGTATTAAGAGTTCATTTTGCGGTTGTGGGGTTGTAGCTCAGTGGTAGAGCACTTTCTAAACAGGCCAGTTGGATAAAGTGAACTGCTACTCAATGATGTGAATTATTTTATCTCTTCAGAAATTGATCAGAATAAGGACCGCATGTTGGAGATTTTGGAAGGAAAGGGACTGAGTTTCTTATTTCCACTTCTCAAATTGGAGAAGGAACTTTTGAAGCAAATAAAGTTGGATCCATCCCCTCAAACCATATATAAATGGATTAAAGATAACATCTCTCCCAAACTTCATGTAGATAAAGGATTTGTGAACATCTTAATGACTAGGTAAGATGAGTGGCCTTCTATAAACAGTAAAATCCATGTTTTATTTGCTAGAGAATAAGTCTGCGAGGCAGGGAGCTAAAAGTTGTCTGTTTCTTGAGCCAAAAAACTCACTTTGTGGTTCTAAAAAGGCTTCTTTTTGTCCAGCTTCTTACAGTATATTTCTAGTGAAGTAAGCCCACCTAGCGACGAAACAGATTCTTCCTCTGCTCCTTCCAAAGAACAGTTAGAGCAGGAAAAACAACTGCTTCTTTCTTTCAAGCCAGTGATGCAGAAATTCCTTCATGATCATGTGGATCTACAGGTCAGTGCCCTGTATGCTCTGCAGGTGCACTGTTACAACAGCAATTTCCCAAAAGGTGAGATGACAGGTGTTAAAGGAATGAGGAGTTCAGGGGCAGTGCATGATGAGATAGCCCACTAAGTGGGGATTTTGGGTTTTTTTTTTTTAGGCATGTTACTCCGCTTCTTTGTTCACTTCTATGACATGGAAATTATTGAAGAAGAAGCTTTCCTGGCTTGGAAAGAAGATATAACCCAAGAGTTTCCAGGAAAAGGCAAGGCTTTGTTCCAGGTAAATTTTTAATTTGGTTTGGGGTTTCTTGGTTTTTGTTTTTCCAGTTTCGTTGGTAGTATTTCAATGAGTAGTGTGCTAGCGCGCGTGCGCTCGCTCGCTCGCTCTCACTCTCTTGTAGCCACACAAAATACCTGTATTTTATTTGTGTTTATGTAATGCCAAGGATTGAACCCAGTGCCTCAAATGTGCAAGGCAAATGCTCTACCAGCTGAGCTACAATCCCAGCCCCCACTAGTTCTCTTTTTTAAACTAAAATACAGGCAAAAGATAGTCCTGAAAGTTTCTTAATTCGCACATATCATTTTGTACTGTTCAAAGCTATTAAAAGTGGGCAGTTAGCAGCATGAAGTAAAGCTAGGAGGTGAAGTTATGCTTAAATCCTAGTGGTTTTATAAGATGTTGAATTAGAGGTGATTGACAACTTTTTGGTATTAAAAGTACTTAAACAATTTTGGTGATTGGAAGTTTATTTTTTAATTTATTCTATCTGTAAGTAAAGAATTTAGTATAAAGGTTCTGGTTTAGTAGTTTTCCAGGGGACCAGCCTTTGGGAAACTCTAACCTTACTCCTAAGGGTTACAGAGTAGCCTCACAGGGATCATCTTGACTAAAAAGATTTCCTGAAATATAAGTGGACAAATGTCATACTAACCTTGAATTAAAACTTAAGGCTGATTTACACAGTACATTTGCAGCTGTTTGCAGTAATCAAAATGTGGTTTAAGACTTTTGCCCTTGGGTAAATGTTTGGTTTTGGTTATGTCTTGAACCTGCTGTTGAATAATAATTACAAATCTAATTTACAGGTGAATCAGTGGCTAACCTGGCTAGAAACTGCTGAAGAAGAAGAATCAGAGGAAGAAGCTGACTAAAGAACCAGCCAAAGCCTTAAATTGTGCAAAACATACTGTTGCTATGATGTAACTGCATTTGACCTAACCACTGCGAAAATTCATTCCGCTGTAATGTTTTCACGATATTTAAAGCAGAAGCACGTCAGTTAGGATTTCCTTCTGCATAAGGTTTTTTTGTAGTGTAATGTCTTAATCATAGTCTACCATCAAATATTTTAGGAGTATCTTTAATGTTTAGATAGTATATTAGCAGCATGCAATAATTACATCATAAGTTCTCAAGCAGAGGCAGTCTATTGCAAGGACCTTCTTTGCTGCCAGTTATCATAGGCTGTTTTAAGTTAGAAAACTGAATAGCAACACTGAATACTGTAGAAATGCACTTTGCTCAGTAATACTTGAGTTGTTGCAATATTTGATTATCCATTTGGTTGTTACAGAAAAATTCTTAACTGTAATTGATGGTTGTTGCCGTAATAGTATATTGCCTGTATTTCTACCTCTAGTAATGGGCTTTATGTGCTAGATTTTAATATCCTTGAGCCTGGGCAAGTGCACAAGTCTTTTTAAAAGAAACATGGTTTACTTGCACAAAACTGATCAGTTTTGAGAGATCGTTAATGCCCTTGAAGTGGTTTTTGTGGGTGTGAAACAAATGGTGAGAATTTGAATTGGTCCCTCTTATTATAGTATTGAAATTAAGTCTACTTAATTTATCAAGTCATGTTCATGCCCTGATTTTATATACTTGTATCTATCAATAAACATTGTGATACTTGATGTACTTTTATGTGACTTTCAGTAGCACCTGCAGCTTTGTGGGGAATTGTTAGCTTTTGAGGGTTAGAAGATGCATCTCAGTTTGAAGATTTAGGAACTTTTAAACGCAATCTACTTTTTTTTATGATAGGACACAAAATGAGTAATTTTTCAGGTCAGTTTATTAGAATTATATAGAACTATCAACAGTTTCTATAATCAAAGACCATAAGTCTCATGAATTTAGAAGAATGTTGCTATCTATGCATAGCAACCAAAACTGATATCTTCTCATCAGGCTGAAGTAGGTTGATAATCTGTTCTCAGGAAGATTTCACATCCCCTCTTGAAAAATCCATTGTCCCAGTAAAATTATCCGGCATCTTTATTCAACTAAATGTTCATCATGGGGGTTAAGATGTATTTTTCAGAAACTCCTTAAGGATTTACCCATGCTCCCAAGCCTTGGAAGATTTTTCACAATCCTGGGCCTAATGTTAAAACTTGGGCAGGGACACTTCTGCCACCTGAGAAGAATAACCTGGTCTTGGTTTACAGAAACCTTCAAGGCAGGCAGTAGTACATCATGCTAATGGGCACTGTTGAAAGAGGCCCCACCTACTAGAAAGGGGTGATAGGTAAAGCCAATATTTTTGTGTTCCGTTGGGATCAGAAAGGCTAACCCTTTGTGGGAATGGTCATCACTAAAATTCTAACAATTTATAGCTTTTGGTGGCTATCAGAGCAAAAATGGTAGGTGAACACAACCTACTTTAGATTTCAGAAGACTTGAAGGGTGTTCCGATAAAATTGTGTTATTCTTAGCCATCTGCTCAGTGTTACATGCCAAGGGTGAAAATTGATTAACTCAGCAAAGGTAGCACGTGGTTAGGGGTAATGGGTTGGCCACTGGGTTCATTTTATAGCCATAAATAATCCAATTTGGCCAGGGACTAGCATATACAGAGACTTAGAAATCTTGTTCCAAATTTCTGATGTTGTATTCACTTCCTTTTCTCCCAATCTCAAACCTCAATACCCTTTGTACCTCTACTCTCAAGGTCACCAGTAACTCAAATGTTCTGCAGTAGATTTTTGATCATCCCACTCATTCCCACCACTACATCCCTTTTATAGCATAAATGCCCCACTGTTAAAGTGTGACAGCCTCTTACAAGGCTCAGGAGTTTGTACCAAATTCTTGATTGGGAAGAAAAAAAAAACAGGACAACTAAGTAAGTAGAAAGTAAGTTTACTGGAACCCAAGTAACCAAAATGGAGCCTAGAGAACCAGGCTTAAATATGAATAGCAACTAAGGGAAGGAAGTTAGGCAGCCCAAGCCACAGAAATTGGGGCAGATTTTTAACTAGCCCATTAGTCCTTGCAGCTTCCCTTACAAGTATCTTGAATGAATTCTCCCGGAGACAGAAGCCCCAGTGTCAGAACCCCAGGCAGAAGCTCATAGTTGCTAGTGGACTGTGTTAGTGTCATGCCTCCACCCTTCACTACCTTGGCTTCCTGTAGCAGAGCCAGAATATGGCTTTTGGGGTCCCTGTTAAATAGGTGTTGACTTCCTCCAAGGCTTACAGTGTGGGAGAAAAACTTTGGAAGAAATTTGGGTGGGTAGTAATTAGAACTGCCCATTCTCAGGCCCCTCTGTACTCCACTGCCTGATACCCCTGCTCTCAGCTTTCTCCTGTCTCCGGAGAGGACCATCTCCCTTCCACTGTCCACCAAAAGAGCATTTTCCATCCACAGTTTTGAATGAGAGGACACACTTCAAAATCTGGGAGGGGGCAGCAGGGGCCAGCTGTGATTCTCAGCTGTCCAGTGAGGCCAGGAGAGAGACCAGGATTTACAAACGTCCCTACTCACCTCACTGGCTTTAGAAGCAATCTTCCAAGGAAAAACAACCAAAGAGATGCCCAAGCATGGAGTGGATTGGTAGAAACAGAACACAGAGCTACATGGGCTACTTAGACCAAGACCCTGTCCTCCCCACCCCACATCTGGTTTAGGAGAATAGGCAGGAGCCCCATGACCCTGAAGAGACCTGACTCCTGTGCCCTCTGCTTTGTAGCCTTGCCGGGTGAGAGACCACTTGGCAGGTGAGATTCAAGGTTCTCGTCCTATACATCCCAAAGGAAAGCAAGACCCAGACCTAGCGAATACAGTCGCCAAGAAAGGGGAGTGAGAATTTTGCTCTCAGCTTGGTTCCCCTTCAACTATGGAAGATGCCTGATGTGCCTGATGAGCAGTGAATCCTTAAAGGAGAATAAACTTATTGTTTGAAGCCACCTAGTTTGGCACTCTGCAAAACTGCAGCCTTGGGGTATCAGTCGCCTGCCCCCACAGACTCACCTCCAGGAGGGCACTATGGCCTCCAGCTGTTCCCCTCCCTCTCTCCCCAGACCTCTGGAGTTGTTTCACAGCTCAACTGAGTACAGAGGTGAAGGAAGAACTTCCACAAACTAGTGGAGGAAAGAAGAAAGGAATGTGGCAGTGATTAGAACTCTGTTGAGAATTCTTTGAAGAAACTTACTGCACTAGTAATCCACCTTGACAATGAAAAACTAGAAAATAAAAATAAATCAGAAGAAAAGATAAATTAACATTGTCCATAATTTGCGATGGAGTGACTTTTGTTAGTATCAGAGGAAGTTCCAGATTTTATGGGATTGGAGGGCTCTTTCACTTTCTGTTACTAGAAATTAAATCAAGGAGTACTCTGCCACTGAGTTACATCCTCAGGTGTTGAGGGTTGCCAATCAAGTCAAGCTGTGTGTAATCAGTTAGGTATATATACCGCTGTTGTTCCGTAATAAAGCAGTTCCCGTTTCAACCTTCAAGTTGCTTGTCACCTCCCAGTTATTTTGCCCAGCCGGACTGTGGCACTCAGGCCCTTTTATTTTTTAATTTTGAGATGGGTCTCACTAAGATACTGAGACTGGTCTTGAACTTGAGATCCTCCTGCCTCCACTTTCCAAGGCACGGGAATTATAGTCATGTGCCACCATGCCCAATTTGAAGGGTTCTATCTAAGAAATTGAATCCAGAATTATATATACAAGATGAAGTATTGGGTCTTGGAAGAAGCCCAAGCAAGTGCGGAACCCTGATGCATAAACTTTATAACTTTACAGAAAATCCACTCGTGTGTGGAAAAAAAAAATCCACAAGTCATAAAGGAAAATGTGCCTTTTAATGTTTGATTCGAAATGCTACAAAGGACAATCTAAGAAAAATATTTCCTATACACAAATTATAGGCTTGGCCAAAAAAAGCTCTTTAAAAAAAATGCCCCCCTATTCCCCACACACACAAAGTGAATTTTAGGGCTGGGGCTGGCTGTCACTCAGTTGTAGAGCACTTGCTTAGCATCCAAGAGGACCTGGTTCCATCACCAGCACTGGAAAAAAAAAAAAAAATCAGTGGGGAAAATGTTTTGAACCCTGACTATATTAAGATGTTGAAAACTCGGTCCTTGTCCCCAGTACCAATCCAATAACAAGGACAGTTTATTGCTTTGATAGAAAGGAGAAACACAGGGGACTCCTGTCCCAAAGGCTGTGATTCTGCCCATCCGCAGAAAATAGGGCCTTTCATAGAGGTGATTCAGAGAAAATGAGATTAGGGAGGAAAGATCAGGAAGGAGAAGATGAGGGAAAAGAAGATCAGGGAGAGGTCTTTAGGGAAAAGAAAAAAAAATGTAAGTTTCAAAGCCACAAGGGATATAGTCAAAGCATCAAGTGAACCCCTGTTACAATTACTCTCAGAAATGTCTTGGGATGTAGACAAATGTCAGTGGAAGACCTAGGATTTTAGGTTTTGGGTAAGCCCGAATCTTTCTGGTTAAACAGCTCGTTGAAATTGGAGCTGGTTTCTAAGTGTGGTGAAAACAAAACAAAACATGGCTCCTTCTAGGTACTTCCCTAAGCTTCCTCTAGCTCCCACCAGCCTCTTGATCTGGAAACGCCCTACCTTTCCACACCCCTCCCCTACTTGATGACATCACCTTCTTTAAGCCCAAGTGAAAAATGTGATGGTGCCCTCTAGCAAGGGCACATTTGTCAGGCTATAGATCCTTGCTACTCAAAGTCTAGGCTTTGATCTAGTACACTTGGAAGTTTGTTAGAAATACAAAGTAATAGCTGGTCTCCCTCCACACCTACTGGATCAGAATCCCCAGGTGATCCAGTAGCCCATTAGAGTTTGATGAGTTCTGATCCACAAGACAACCTAGGCCTGCCACAGTGGTCCACTTTATGCATTGAATGTAGCCTTGCGGCTTTGCCACTGCAACTGATTTTTTAAATGGATGTCTTTCTTTCTCTTTCTCTCTCCCTGCTCCTCCCAAACCTCTTCCCCTCTGTAAGTAATCTCCAGGGAAATAGGATTACCTTTCTCCCCCATCCTAGGCAGATTTATCTGTCCTTGAGTACACACCCACCATAGGAATGAAATTCCAGACTTTGAGGATGGCACCAGAAGATCTCAGAAATGACTACCTTCCAAATTAACAAGTGAATTACAACTCCAATAGAGGACATGTGGAATATAGCTTTTGAGTCACCTCTTTAAAGGCCCCTGTTCCTGCTGATGAGGAGAATCACAGCCTCTGGGACAGGAGTCCCTGTGTTTCTCCTTTGCTAACAAAGCAGTAAACCTTCATTTTCCTTTTTCTCAAAACTGTGTCCTCGTTATTGAATTGGCATCGGGGACAAGGACCAAGCTTTCAGCCACAGGCCCTCTTACTGACTGCCAAGGATTATCTTCCCAGCTAAGTTGACCCTATGTCTCAGCTTCTACTTCAATTTAGAAGCAAATTCTCTACTCTTGTATCTTCCTACCATCCAAAGTATTGACATGCCAAGTAGTGTACTGAGACATGACTTCCTTCTCTTTATAAGGATGACAGGTTCCAGCTCTTTCCAAAGACAAAACCTCCTTAAGGCATGGACTCCATTCCCTAGAGCCAGATCACAGCAAAGCATCTGCACCCTCACCACAGAGAACCAGGGCTC